GTCAGTGCAGATAGAGAAGGGAGACGTAGGCCTCACTCAGTCTTGAATCTCCTGACCTGAGTATGTAACTCACATTACTAGGCAGTTATATAAGAGACATCCAGCAGGGAACTGAGGTATGGCTGCATGGTACAGTCTTGTCCATCATGCCCAAGTAAGAGGAGGGGACAGAGGACAGAGAAGGGAGAGGAAGGGACCAAAAGGAGAGAGGGAAGGGGAGATTTTTCAGTATATAGATCCTTTTTTAGTTTCCTGATCAACACTGAATTCAGCTGCCTGTGCAGCTGTATGCTCCTTATGGGAGATACTTGAGCCAGAGAGTTCCAGATTTCAGGTTTGTTTTTTTTTAATGTTGGAATATTTGCATAGATTTCACCTGTAATTCATTTCTAACCTGAAAACCCACAACCTGCACTTGATCTAACCCCCGTTGAGAAGCAATTGAAAACCCCAAATCCAAACCTTTGGACTGTCACTTCAGCACTTAAAATATTTTGGATTTTTTATTACTTTTTAAAATTTATGTGTACTGGTGCTTTGCTGTATGTCCGTACACCACTTGCATGCCTGGTGCCCACAGGGGTCAGAAAAGGGAGTTAAGAGTCCGTGGATCTGAAGGTGTGAGCCGCCGTGTGGGTGCTGGGAATTGAACCAGGTCCTCTAGAAGAGCAGCCAGTGCTTTAACTGCTGAACTATGTTTCCAGATTCAGTATCCTCACTGGTAGAAAAGAGAAAACAGCATTTCCAAAAAAAAGGTTACAAGAATTTAATAGGATAACCCACACAAAGTCCAACACAGTGCCTGGCAGACAGTAAATGTCTGTTGAACAAATGAATGCATGTAATTTCACCTCCGATGTAATAACTGCCTTATCTGCTTTCTACATCTTATTTTTAGAATCCAGGCCCTGGAGGAGGGGAGGTATTAAAGACAGGCACATCCCAGGAGCTGGCAGCCTCACCATCCTGCTGAAAACAGCACGCTTCCAGGAGTGGGAGACCCTGTCTCAAAGGGCTAGGGAAGGAAACAATAGAGGAGGACTTCTGACCTCTGACCTATTCCTCTGGTCTCTGCATGCACACAGAGGCGCACAACCTTGTTCATCCATGTGTATATGACACACACACACACACACACACACACACACACACACACACACCAAACAAACAATAAATTAAAGCTCACTTAGGTCAAATTTCTTTTCAAAACTCCAGTGAAGCTCTGACTATAAAACCTTTACTACAATGAAGTAATCTATTTTGTGTTTGATTAAAATTCAAACTTACCTATGAATTTTTTTCTTTAATAATTAAATGAAGAGCGTTTGGGATTTTCTGCTTTCTTATTTCGCTATTATAGATTCGTCTAGTTACCTTTTTTCTTCATCCGATGAGTCTAAACAATTCTGTGAGAAAACTCACGTGAAGCTCTTCCAGCCTTGCTCTACTGCAACGGCAGACGTGTCTGTGGGGCAGGCAAAGCCCAAGGCCCTCTAGAGGTCTGTACAGACCCCAATGAGAAAGTCATCAGGATAAACACCCTGCATGAAGCCTGGCTCCCAGGCCAAAGGGGCATTATCAGAGACTTAGAAAGCCCAAAGCAACAGCTACATAATATCCGAGCTTGAAGAAACACCTGAGAGGTACCCACACCGGACAAACGCGTGATAAACCTTCTGTGGACCGTGGATGCCAGGGGCTGAGAAGCCTTGAGACATAAACTACGACCAAATGACTGTGTCAGACGCAGTCAAGCATCAGATGTTAAGGAAGACAAAATGGAGCAAAACGAATGCAGGAGAGTGAAAAGACACTGCCTTCAAATCTCTGTTCAACCGATTTGATTTCTGTATATGGGGCGAATTAGAAACAGCCACACAGGCGTCCGATGCTCTCGTTCGTACCCATGCGTAACAGCAGAGGGAGCAGTGCAGGGGTGGGGAACAGCACCCGGGGGGGCAGGGTGACCATGCGGGCTCTCACCTCCCCAGCCTCAACTTCCTCATCTATAAGAGCAGAGCAGGCTCATCAAAAGAAGTGTAAGATCCACAGGTACCGGCCACGCCTGACATTTTAAATTAGAAATAACAAAGAAGGTAAAAGTAAATCTAATAATATACTTTATTTAGCCCAATTATCCAAAATTGTATCACTTCAACATTAACCAATATAAAATATAAGGTTTCTAAAGTATCTATCTATCTATCTATCTATCTATCTATCTATCTATCTATCTATCTATCT